CGTAAAACAAAAATACTGTATGGCCTAATGCATTACACAAAATAAATGCAATATGTTCTTTGATATTATTTTATTTTATATTAATAACAAATGCATGTAAATGTATGTTTTATAATTATGTAATGTATGCCATTTAATTTGTTGTATTATGAATGAAAATACATGTAAATGTATAAATGCATTACACAAATACATTATGCATCATTATTATTCAAGGGCAAACATTACAGAATGAATAAAAATGTATGTTTTGTATGTACGCCCTAGAAACATTTAGTTCCTTTTGGGGAAATCAAGCAAAAGGAACCCACTTCTATTTTGGTGTTGATGAGGGTTTGAGTCTTACTGATGATGGGATCGTGGGGGTACAAAGATAAAAACCGACTTATTTTTATGACCGCTGTCATTCTTCCACAGATAAGCACATGAAGGAAAAGCTACTTCGGCTAGTGGACTGTGGCTTTTTTGATCACATACCACTTCCTAAAGTTGACAGTCAAGAGAAGACTGAGACCCTAAAGGCGGACCCTCCATCTAGGCCTTGTGGCCTCTCCAGTGAGATTTCATTCAAATTTAACTTCCAATTTCTGTCTAAACTGCTATTAGTTTACTTAAATACATGTCGTTTTATATTTCTGCATTTTAGCACTGGTGAAGCTGAGCTCAAAAGGAGTGCCTTCCAAAGAGGTAAGAACAAGTGACGTGTCGAACGCCATCAAGTGCTATAAACTGTGTTTTGGAGAAGCACAAGCGTTTCAGTAACTTCTGAATGGTGCCAGTTTCTTAACAGACAATACCTACCTGAAACGGACGTCACTGAGCGCAGACAGGATGAGAACACATCGCCCCATAGTTGGAAGGAGGAGTTTTTAGCCATGAAGGAAAGGGAGCCACCAGACTCATGGGAAATGGAGTTTTCTGAAGCTCCTGCGTCCTCTCAGTCCCCCACACAGAAGCCATGGAAGGGGGCAGCAGGATTGATTCCTAAGACTGCAGACATTGCGAAGAGGCCTACGGTTGACCCAAAGGAGGTGAAACTTCTCTAACTTGTCTATTGAAATGGCACTTGAGGTGACCTGAATGGAAAATTGGGGTATTTTCCAATGTCAGTCACAAGATGTTTGCAAAATTTAATTTTTTTCTTTAAAAAAAAATGTTGCGTCTTTCTTAGAAATGTCAAAGAAAGAGCAAGGAGGAGCAGGACTCTAAACCGGTGAGTTGTTTACAGTCATCGTAAATTATTAGTATATCAAAGCAGTTAGTGTTATTTTTATGCTGTGTACTTACAGATGCCTGTCGCAGTGGAAGTCTTTGGCTCTCCATCTCCGTTACCAAAAGACCCTGTTCAGCGCAAACAGCAGTTGGAGTCTCTGATGGACCAGATCTCAGGATCTTTCAGCTTCATGCAGGCATGCATTTAAAGATTTTGCAAAAAATAAATGAACACAAATTGCAACAAAACAACTAAATTGCAGCAGAACAATTAAGTTTGTCAAAACAGAACTTTCAGAAAGTAAGCATTTACAGAATTTTTTTTTTTTTTTTT